TGCTCAGGCAGCGAGTAAGGAGAGGGTGAGAAAGAAAAAAGGCAGGGAAAAAGGAAAGAGAAAGACTCGATTGCTTGCCCGGCCTTGTCTTTCTTCGGAGTGAGTCTGTGTTTGTTCACCGTGCTCGGAATGAGTAGTATTCCGCCTAGGCCGTCTTCGTCGTCTTCGTCTCTTTTCCTTCAGATCGGCGTCGATTCAGACTGCCATTGAGAACACTTCCGCGTGTGCTGCCCGTCAACTGCGATCGGCCGACGATCTGCTACTGTTGCTGTTGCTGCTGCTGCTGCGGTGGTTGTTGTCGCCGCTGGCTGCTCTTGCTCTTGCTCTTGCGTCTGCTTCACCTCGGACTTGCTCGGCAGCTTCACGCTAGTGGAGTTGCAGTGCTCTCTGCAAGGCTACTGCTCCACCACCACCACCATCACCACTGCAGCACTCATTTGGGGGACATGAAAGGCGGGCCGCAATCCTTGAAGTGAGCCTCAGTGGCAGCAGCAGCAGCAGCAGCCAGTTGTTGACCTGCAATCAGTACCTGTTGAGTCGAAGGAACAGTTAGTTAGCCTGCTGATGCTTCTCGCGGCTGGACGTGTTCGCTCCGTTCGATTGCCGTGTCTTCAGTCTTTCTCGGCTAGTCTCTCTGTGCCCGCGTCGTCGTCGTCTTCGCTGTCGTCCTGCTGCCCGTTGCTGTGTTTTGCGTGCGTGTGTGTGTGTGCGTTTTCCATGCTCTGCTAGCCTTTTGGTCACTTTGCTGGTTTGCGGCGGCGGCACAAGTTTAAGGACACCGTCGTCCGGGCACTGTTGACATTGAAAAAAACGGTAGCAACAACACTGGACAGCAACCCAACAACAGTACACTTTAATTCAATTACCGTGTCACTGAAGTTTTTGTTGTCTAGACCCGCTTCAGCAGTACTTCTTCTGTTTTCATCTTCAATTTCTTCTCTAGCACTGTGCGTGTGTGTGTGTACATCAGTCAGTCGGTGGCAGTTGTGGGTGAGGATGACCACGGACGCCTCTCGTCTGGTCATCTTCACCGGAGTCCTGCGAGCGTCTAGCTGTGTTGCCATCACTTCCCTATCACCACTTCACTATCATCATCATCATCATCATCCCCATCACCAGCCAACTACGAACCCACTGTCCCTACCCACTGAATGAATGACTTCCATGGACTACTACTCGCTGGACAAGCACTGTCCTAGCATTCTCTCTCCGCCGGTGATTAGCTCGACGTGCAGCGGTGCTCCACCCGATAATGGCCTCAATGACGCTNCGTCTGGTCATCTTCACCGGAGTCCTGCGAGCGTCTAGCTGTGTTGCCATCACTTCCCTATCACCACTTCACTATCATCATCATCATCATCATCCCCATCACCAGCCAACTACGAACCCACTGTCCCTACCCACTGAATGAATGACTTCCATGGACTACTACTCGCTGGACAAGCACTGTCCTAGCATTCTCTCTCCGCCGGTGATTAGCTCGACGTGCAGCGGTGCTCCACCCGATAATGGCCTCAATGACGCTGGAGCCCACTACGTAGGAAGTGCTCTCAGTAGTGGTGGTGGTGGTGGAAGCACCTTCCGGGGAATGCCAGCAGACAGCTGTTCGTACGGTCATGTTTCACTTCGACACGACAACGGTGTACACGTGAAGATGGAGCTGCTCGGCGGCTCCACCACTGTCGAAGTTTCTGACCACGTTTTCGGTGGCAGTGGCGGCGGTGGAGGTAGCAATGGTGGCCAGTACGCCTACTNTATGCCCACTACGTAGGAAGTGCTCTCAGTAGTGGTGGTGGTGGTGGTGGAAGCACCTTCCGGGGAATGCCAGCAGACAGCTGTTCGTACGGTCATGTTTCACTTCGACACGACAACGGTGTACACGTGAAGATGGAGCTGCTCGGCGGCTCCACCACTGTCGAAGTTTCTGACCACGTTTTCGGTGGCAGTGGCGGCGGTGGAGGTAGCAATGGTGGCCAGTACGCCTACTACAACCTCAATGGAAATGGCTCCATGCACCACTCCTCACACATGAGCGAAGAGCAATGTCAGTTAAAGAAGAATCACATGAACAATGGAGGGGGACAGCAGTCTAGCTACCACCACTTGCAGTCCAGTCCGGCGTACAGCAGCACAGGCAGTGTGGTCAGCAACTGTCCGATGAGTCCGATGGAACCCATGTACGGCAATGGAGGAAGTGGTGGTGGTGGCATCGTCAAGGAGGAATTTGAGAACTTGCACACGTCCATCTACTCGATGCAGCAGTGCACCCCCAGCCAGTCATCGGGCACCTCACCCCTGCTCAGCAGCCATTCACTGCCCGACTCGCCGCCCATCGTCAGCAGCAACTCGGCGGGCTACCACTCGGGTGGCAGTCGACACAGTCTCTCTCCGCCTAGCATCACCAACACGCCCAACACCCCCAATCACCATCATCACCCTTCTCACCCTTCTCATCCTCGAAACGGTGGCCTGTGTATTGCCAAAAAGTCCTCCTCCTCCTCTTCGTCATCATCCTCTTCGTCCACCACGTCCAGCAACGTCTGCTACGAGCTGAAGCGTGAAATGGCCGAAAGTTCGGGTCTCAGTTTAACCGGTGCACCGTATGCCAAGTCTCGTGCTGGCAGAAAAGGTGACTACTACTACCTCTACTTTCACTGCTTCTCTCCTTTACTATCCATACTTTCTTTGCTCATTCAACTTTTCACCCAATTTTTTCTCAAAGTGGGTTTTAATTCACGCACACAATGGTGTGTTAGAGCCAGCGTGCTGCATGGATGCTCACCGGTGATGACCACCGGAGATTTGCACAGTATTGCGCGCGCCATTCACAGGCCTCTCTCAAAGAGCCTGATGATGATCGGTGGTGGTAGGAGCAACAGTGCGACCTGCCACTGCAACCACCGCCGCCACCACTACTTCTAACAGCAGCTGACAGTTATCTCTCTTTCTCTGCTCAGTCTATTTTTGTGCACAATGTCAATGTCCGTTCACTGAAGAAATTCAAGCAGTGTTGGCGAGGTCGTTTGCCTCTGGTCGGCCAGTCGCCGTGGTTGCCTTTTTCCTTCACCTTCATCTCTTTCTCTCATTGCGCTCTGTGTTAGCACTACGTTGGCCTTGGCATTTGTTCGCTGCCCTTTGCTACTGGTGGTAGTTCTCCTCATGGCAGTGATGATGGTGGTAGCAGTGCTGGCAGCGGTGGTGCTCTGCCGACTGTCCCCTTTCCTTCACTTGACAGTGAAAGGCCAACTTGACCGGTCANTTCTCATTGCGCTCTGTGTTAGCACTACGTTGGCCTTGGCATTTGTTCGCTGCCCTTTGCTACTACTGGTGGTAGTTCTCCTCATGGCAGTGATGATGGTGGTAGCAGTGCTGGCAGCGGTGGTGCTCTGCCGACTGTCCCCTTTCCTTCACTTGACAGTGAAAGGCCAACTTGACCGGTCAGACTTGGTCCCTGTTGTTGAGCCAGGCAGTCGGGCCTAGGTGATTGCCCCCTGACTGCGCTCACTCTCTGTCCACTCACTGCACTGCCATTGTGTTTAAGGCTCAGAGTTTTGCTCTCTTTTCCCTTTTGCATTTGCATTAATCGGTGGCAGTGAACCCAGCTCAAAAGAAGCCCTCTTGTCGTCCACTGAACCCTGGGCTCAGTTTGCAGAGTTCGTTTGCAGCTCTTCAATCTTCCAAAGTTGAAAGTCGGCAGACAGTTGAAGCGGCGCAAACATTTTCAAATTACTTTCGTCTTGCTGGTGCTGCTTTCACAAGTCTCTCCGAGTGGACTGCACATATGGCAGTGCCCCTCTGCAGCTTGTGGTCGTCGCCAACTTGAATTGCTGCCTTTGCAAAGCTGCAACTGGGCATGCAAAAATGTAAATGATCATTTTACAAACAAAGTTGCTGTCTGTGCCGTGCTGTAAATCGATTTGCGATGTCAGCACAGTTTTACTGGGCTGTAAACTGAGATTTTAGCTGGCGGTGGCCACTGGCCAGCAGCAGCAGAGCGAGCTCTAGCAATCTCTATCAATCTGATCTGATTTAGCATAGCGGACTGACCATCATGCCTGGCAATACCTGTTCCTTGTCACACACACACTCAGGCAGGCAATGCGACGACAATGTTGCCGTCCCCTCTCCTTTTTTCAGCGTCGTCATTCCTTCTACCTTCTTTTGACGACGCTCATCGTTCTTTCTTTCTTATTTGTGAGTCGACTGGCTAGCGAGACAAAATAGAGACGCTCCTTCAGAGAGACGATCGATGTGACAACCATCACAGCTGAACTGTGCACTACGATTACCCCACCACAGTGTTGTTGGCACCCCAATGCAGAGAGACTATGCAGCCAGCTCGTATGTTTGTCCTGCGACTTCTTCTTTCTCTTCCCTTCCTGCGTGAGCACTGCACTCCAACTCAGTCCCTAGCATCGATCCACACACAATGGCATTCTCCTCCGCTCAGCATCACATCTAGTGTAATCGGAGGGGACGACGGCAGTACTCTGCGTTCCAACAGCAGAAAAGGCTGCTTCCATTGTTGTTTGAACACTTTTTTAATTTCTTCTCTCTCTCTCACTGGCAATTTTGTTCTTCTTCTCTGAACTGTGTTCCAAATGGGAAAGCGAATCGAAGCTACCACTCAACTGCTGTTGCCAGTGCAGAGAAAGGAGAAAGGCAAACGAGAGAGAATGAACAAACGAGCTGCTGCCGCTCGATCTCGATCGTCTCACTGGAGTCCCTTATTTCTGCGCCGTCTTCGCTTCCGGGTTGCGGTAGCGCTCGCGCGCTCTTTCTCTCTCTCGCTCACGCTCTCCACTTGATTTCGCCGCGGCAGCAAATTGGCTTTGGAAGCAGCAGCAGCCTCTTTGCCACTTAGCAGTGCCGTTAGTCAGACTAACCGTTAGACGCTGTCGCCAGTTAGTTAGTCATTCTCTCTCTCTTTCTTTTTTTATTTCTTTCTTTTTCCCCGACTCAGTCTCTGTGCCAGGCTGTGTGAGATGTGTTTTGTTTTTTGTTTTCTGCAGTCCTGTCTCCTTTCACTTTGTGCACCGAGCAGAGACAACTCCAGCTCTGTGAATACAATGCCAGCCAGCCAGTCTGCCTGCAGTGCTGACACTTCCTTGCGCTGAAGGTGCCAATCACCGGGGAGATACCTTTCCCTTGCGCTGAGTAGTAGACAACAGCATCAGCAGTGGCAGCTCCTCGTTTTCCCGATCGATCCACTGGGTCTCTTTTTCCTGTTAGTTAGTTAGTTAGTTAGTTGGAATCGAGAGTCGCACAGCCACAGACTCACTGTTTTACATTGCTGCTGCCAACTTTTCTCTCGGCTGCTTCAATCGGTTTTTAGCGGATTTACTTGTGCTGTTGCTGTAATGGACAGTTGATGGAAAAGTCCCACTAAGCGGTTAATTAAAGTAGAGAAATAAAAGTTAGACTTTCTGTGTGTGTGTGTGTGTGTGTGCAGAAGAAAGAAAGGAAGTGATCAGTTGATGAAGAGGCTCACAGACACACACAAACTATTTCTGGTTCTAGCAACACCAGGAATCGGGAAGTTGAGCTGCCGTTGTGCTTTCTGTGAACTGCAGGCACACTCGCACACTGAGACATCTTTTCCTCTTTTTCCTTCGTCCTCTTCCTCATTCTTTTTTCTACTATGCGACCAATAATCTAACGAGCTATGTGCTTTTGATGTATTTGCAGGTGCCAGCAATATAGCCAGCAGCACTGGAAGCAACTCAGAGGCGAACCAGTTCACTGACGCCGACTCCAACAGTGGCAATCCCTCATCAAAGGCTTTTGTGCCCTGCAAAGTGTGCGGAGACAAGGCTTCTGGGTACCACTACGGCGTCACCAGCTGTGAAGGATGCAAGGTTTGTAACACCCTTATCAATTTTTGCGCTTTTTAATTTAGTAATTAATGGTAGTGCAAACAGTGGAAAAGTAAATTCTAAATTGGTTTTTGTAAGAAAAAGTCGATTTCCAAGATAAAACAGCAGAGATTGAAACAGGCAGAAAGGCAAGCAGTACTTTGTTATGTCAACTGCTCACTGACAGATTTGTACATAACAGCAAACAGGCGGCGGTATTTATTGAGTGTACAGTCGCACCAGGATTGCGTGTATTTATTTAATTAAAATGAGCGCACACAAGTCAAAAAGATTTGCCAGGAAGTTCCACTAATCGGCAAATAAACAAAAGTGTCACCAATTGCCGCTTCTTTGTGTTGCTGCAGGCAATTTCATCAGCTCCTCCATCTCATCTATCAGCTGACACTCGCACATTTAAATAGACTCATTTTGCTGCAACCACAACTACAATAATCATCGTAAAAGTTTTCTCATTCTTAGCTGTTAAACGAAAGAGGCAGTGCAAGTGCTAACAAGTGAAAGTGTGTTTAACCATCAAACAGCCAGTGTTCAGTCAGTCACCGAGTGTATGGCAGTTTTGAAGATGCAAGTTTAATTGTCCACTCGGCGGGAGATAGATCGCCGGAAAGTGTAATGTCATTACAGTGACTGTCTTTCAAGTTGACCATCAGCCCCGCCAGTATCTCTCTACTAAATGCTGGTAGAAGGACTGAAAAAGTGGTTGTTGTTATTGTCCAGTGTCTTGTGTGAACACTGCACGCAACACAGAGTAAAGGACAGTGTCCGGTGTTGGCAGTTGTGGACGTGTTAATTAGTGCTGTCCAGTAAAACGAAGGAGGGGCAGAAGAGAGAGAGGGGGGGGAAACGACAAAGACCGAGAAAATGGATAGAGAGAAAAAGAAATGGCAGTGCCAGTTCGTCTTTGTTGTGCGCTCTGTACACTGACTAGCTCTCTCACTATTAAGGTCACTAGCAAGTGGCAGCAACCTGTTCTGTTCGCTGACTATGTTCCTCTGTACGTCAGGCAGCGCTTTACTAGCTTCAGCAGACTTGACTTCTCTGCAAGTCATCAGAGCCGTCATGGCGGCCAACGTTCTGGGCGCCATTGCTTTCTTCACTGTGAGCGGCTTCACTTTACTTCCGCCTTTCAGTGGCAACTCTTTCGAGGCTTTCTCTCACTGCTTTCAATTTATCTTCTCTTGAACTTTTCTTTTATAACGTTGTTCCCCCTCCCTCACTCCCTTCCTTCCTTCCCTGCCTCCCCCGTCTTTCATTTCATTCATTCAGTGAAATGTATATGCCCGTAATGTCAGAGTGGACAGCACCGACAGACAACAGGTAGACTGAGAGTGAGTGAGAGCGAGAAAAGTGAAGAGAAGTGAAGTGCACAGAGTGTTCACAGTGTTGCACGTACTACGTACTGCTACCAATAGTATTAATAATAATGATGATGGTAAATAATTGGCTCAGAGTTGCCTGGCCGCTTTCACTGTTATGCCAGCCAGCCAGCACTACTCCTTTTGCCTCTTAATTGCCCATTGCCATTGTCCTAGGGAAGCACTGGCAAACAGACACTGTCACTTTGCCCTCCCCCCATTTGCCTTTCAGGCCTTCTTTACCTTTGCCTTTAGATCACAACCGTTGGCGTTGGATTGTGTTGTGTTGTCTTAAATTGAATTAATTTCACTGCATTACTGCTAATGCCTTTTTCTCGTTCTCACTCGTTCACTCACCTTACCAGCCTAGCTAGGCGATCGGACTAAGAAAAAAAGAGTTTGTGAGAGCTTAATGAAAAAAGTAAAACTGCCAGCCAGGGGAGACAGGAAAAGTGGGCAAACCACGTGAGAATGTAATTTAAACACACATTCGATAGAGACGAGTGATGCAAATCGGCCAATTGATTCACTCACTTGCGGCATTGTGTTCAGCAGTACTCGGAGCATCATCTTCAACCAGTCACTTTCTTCTTTTCCCCTTTGTTAACCGACCATTTTCCTCCTCCTCCACAGGGCTTCTTCCGGCGATCCATTCAAAAGCAAATCGAGTACCGGTGTCTGCGAGACGGCAAGTGTCTCATTATTCGGCTGAACCGCAACCGTTGTCAGTACTGCCGATTTAAAAAATGTCTAGCGGTCGGCATGTCTCGCGACTGTAAGTGTCACACACACAGATAGACAGTGTCAAAGTGAAGTGAAGTTGCCGGTGATTGAAGGAAAGAGTGCACAGTGAAGTTGAAGTTGAAGTTGAAGTTAAAGTGCTTTTTGCCATTTGAATTTCTCTTTTCTTCACTAATGCCTCTCTTCAAACACACATCAACCACTTTTTCGCCACTTTTACACACACACACCTTTTTGTCTGACACTTTCTTTTTCTACTTCCTCCCTTTTCCCTTTCCTTCTCTAGCGGTGCGCTATGGACGAGTGCCAAAGAAGTCCAAGGAAAAGGAGCGACTGGAGGAGAAGGCGAACGGTGTGACGCAGGCCGAGGCAGACCAGTCCTCGGTGGTGGACATCGACGCCAAGGACCTGGCACTGTACGACACCATTCTAACCATCTCACAGGCGCACCATGCCAACTGCTCTTACACCGATGATAAAATCAAAGGCCTCGCAAAGAAACCCATCTTTATTGTATGTTTCTAAACCACTTTGTTCCTATTTCGGCAAAAATCCTTACACTCCCATGTTTTTCCTTATCAGATGACCAGTCACATAAAGCTCGAGTCCAGCGACGAGTGCTCCTCCTCACCGGACGTCGGCTCCGTCTCTGAGAGCATGGAGACGCAGAAGATTGAGCTGTGGGAGCAGCTGGCTTTGCTCATCACGCCCTGCATCCAGCGAGTGGTCGAGTTTGCCAAGCGAATTCCCGGCTTCTCCGAGCTCACACAAGACGACCAATTGATACTCATCAAGTTGGGCTTTTTTGAGGTGTGGCTAGTCCACATCTCCAAGACGGCGGACTTTGTCGAAAATACTCTCACCTTTGCTGATGGCTCCTTTCTCAATCGAAAGCAACTTGAACTAATGTTTGACGTAAGTGTGCCGGCCGGTCGGCAGAAAGTAGGCAGGCAAACTGAATGAGGCGCTCAATTTGGGCATTCTCTGAAGCGACTCACCACTAACCGCATCATTTTACTACTTTGCTCTTATTCAAAAACAGCACGAATTTGTGGGCAACCTCTTTCACCTCATGTCAGGCTTGAACAATCTTGCGCTGAACGACACCGAAATTGGTCTCTTTGCCGCCATCATTTTGCTACAATCAGGTAAGCAGTGCCCTCTGAAGTTTGCCAACACTTTCTAACAGTTGTTCTGCTGTTGTACCGATTCTAGATCGCCCGCAAATATATGATATTAAAGCGATCAATAAAATTCAAGAAAACGTCATGGAGGCGCTAAAGACGCAAATCACACGCAATCACAGCAATGACACGGCCACATTCCAAAAGTTGATGCAAAAAATCAACGAACTGAGAGCCCTGGGCTCCAGTCACTCGCTGCACCTGCAGTGGTTCCGCTCCAATTGGTTGCGCCTGCACTTGCCGCCGCTGTTTGCGGAAATCTGGGACATACCACTGCCAAAGTCGACCACCTTTGCGAGTGCCACACCGGTTGCAAACACTTCGGTAGTGGTAGTCTCGCAGTCGACCATTTCATCCAGAGATCAGCAGCAGCAGCAGCAGCAGCAACAACAGCAAACAAACAGTAGTCCTCAGCTCAACAACGCCTCAATGGCCAGTCCAATTGAGAACTGAGTCCAAATCTGAGATGAATGTCGCTCTCTAGAGGTCTCATCTTTTTTAACCTGTTCTTTTCTTGTCCAATCTCACTGCCCACTGACATGATCATCTTAATCATTCCCCTCTTCCCCTTTTGTATGATCACACACACAGCACCAGCAAACAGTGGTGACCAGAGACTAGTTGTCCTCCACTGTTGGCTATCAATTGATGCTACAACCTGCCTGATCAGTGCAAACACTCACTGCCACCTGACCAGACTGATTGATAATTTAATTGTGCAGTGTGCCACACACGTTTGTCAGTCGTAGTTGCTTCTCCATCATCCACTCCCCATCATTCCATCTTTCAGCCACGTGTCCAATTTCTTTTTTCTCCCTATCTCTCTATTAACTCTTTCCCTATCTACCTGTTATAGTCTACCCTGATTATTTTTCTATGTTTTGTATTATAATATTTTGTTGTTATCGCTTCTATATCCTCTACGAACTACACACACAGACACACCCACCCACATTCACAAACTCACACAACGAACACTCGACCACACATGACTTGTGTCGTTTGAACTTTGAGGCCATACAAAATGAAAGTGAAATTGGTTGTCGGTGGGCGTGGTGAAACACCTCTCCCACCGACAAGGCTTTGCTTCCCACTTGCATGGCGAAGGCAGCAAACGAATGCGGTGTTACCAAGTACAAACAAATGATGTTTCTTGCTGACACACTTCAAGTGGAAGCAAGCAAGTTGTTGTTATCTTTCTCCTCTCTCTTTCTACCTATCTACTTCTTTGTTTGTTAGCTCTGTTTTGGCACGTTAACCGTTACTTGAAATCAGACAGAATCATTATCATCACCATCCCAAGTCCCTTTTCCTTGCTTTTCCACCTCTCCTTCTGTACAAATAGACGTCCTCTCCCAATCTCCCCATCGTTCTCCTCCTTTCCCTCTCCACCTGAACTTCCCATGTTTTTGAGCCCATTTACAGCACCAAATTTTTCACGTTTTTACTACTCTTTTACGACACTTTTACACCTACTTTGTAGACACACTCTTTATTTATACACCTACATCGTTTACAAAACATGTCTAAGCTGTTCACTGCCACTGCTGAACTATACTGAACACATGAACGATTGACACTGCCCGAGGTCAACCAACAGACACACCTCTTTACTACTACAGCGCAACTGACCAATTTGCTAATGACACATCTACATACACTCACCTTCACCACACAGTTTGCTGCAAATGCCCCAAAACTGCGCTCTATTTATTTATTTATTTAATGTCTCTATAGTTTTTCTGTAGCCATTTGCAGTATTAACGACAACAGAATCAATCTTTTTCTTCTTTCGGGATATACATTAAAAATCTTTTGATGAATTACAGTAACAATAACAATTCGGAAGTCAATGTCACTCGTGAGTGCGCTGTTTGGCGGGCAATGGTTTTAGTCAAAATACGAACAAAATTCAAGAAAAGGGGTTTGTGACAATCGCTAGGGGGAGTTTAAGAAGAGGATTCTTTTTGTTAGGTAAGCTTGCAAAATTATTGCAATTGGATAAGTAGTTGAAAGCATTAGGAGAAAAAGAGGCAGGAAAAAGAGGAAAAAAGGGTTAAAACTTGGTCAATAGTTGTGCACAAATGTCTAAAATGTGGTCGAATGACGTGCCACTAGTGGTCAACAATGTCTACAACAAACAAATACACACGCTAAAAAGCAAAAAGAAAATCTGTCAACTGGTGTGCGTTGAAAAAGTGCAACAACCACTTTTCAGTATTCAGACCGGAAGCAAGTTGGTCCGTTTAGTCCGAATCCGAGTTATGACGTTGAAGACCTGAAGTTGAGGGTCCGTTATTAATTTCTGCATTGCTCTGCAGCTCCAGAACGTGCTCAATGGGCACTGGGCGACCGTCTTCGCCAATGCGACAGGGCTGAATGATGCCAGTTCTGGAAAGGGGAAATTGAGAATTGGTGTTTCACACAAGAAAGCCTACTTTGCTATACCTCTGCATTTGGTCGATCAAGTTGACCAGCTGATTAGCTTCATACTCCTTCTGCTCCTCGGACATTCCTTCCATAGGATTAGGAGCCAGCTCTTGAATGTGTCCGGTGACGGGATTAATTCTAGTTCAGTGAAAGAAGAGTGTTATTGCAACAACCGATAGTGTTGAGTGCTTTCCAGTCAGCCCTACCTGTCAACATTCTGGACGTACTCATCCGTCTCACTGTCATCCGAGTCCGAAGAGTAAGTAGCAGGCATCTCTCCCGCCATGCGCCCAATTCGAGCCAAATGGCCGGCAGCATTGCCGTAGCCGACGTACTTCACAAAGCGGTTTCGATTTGACTTGCACAGTGACCAGATAAAGTTGATGGCCAGCTGACTGATGGTGTCATTGCTGGAGGCCATCAGACGGACCAGGCGATTACGCGGCAGGTTGCCCACTTCGGGTCGCTGCTGCAGATCGGCCTCTCGCAGTGGCGGCAGAATGCGGTATCGCAAAAACTTTCGCGTCGTCGAGCAAGACTTGGAAGCCTTGTACATGACGCCCAGTATGCCCAGCAGTCGCTCAGGAGAACTGGATGCAGTTTCCTAGTAAACGAAAGAGAATGAATGTCAATGTCAGGTGAACTGCTGGCTTGCGCTAATCTTACCTCCTGTAGGCGTTTCTCGAGAAACTTGCACAGTACAGCAATCACTTCCATATTCATTTCATTGTACTCGTGTTCGGGATTTTCTGGCTTCCCCAAGTCGGCGACATTAGAGAGCAGCTCTTCGTAGCTCTTAATTGGCATGAGCGTCAACAGATTGACCACCTGACTTTGTAAGTCTTCTTTCTTGGCGGGATTCTTTGTGTCGCACAGCATAAGGTCATGCAGAATGGAGACCAAACGAAAAAAGTGAGCCTCTTCGACCTTTAACAAAAAGCAAAATATAATATTCAATTTCAATATTTAAATAACAAGACTGATTTACCTCGTCCACTTCACGGTTGTCCAGGTCGATATTCAGATTGTACAGTACTTTGAGAATCTGAATAGCCAGATTGGCCTCCCAATCGTCGAGACAGTAGGCGACCAGAGTGTCATCGAGGCGGCCATCACTGGCTTCCTCCTTACCATTGTCGCCATTCTCCGTCGACTGAGCCGACTTGCGACCTCTCCTTGAGCCCTTTGAGCGGCGCTTATTCTTACTTGGTACCGTTTCTGCCAGATACTCTGCATTGTTCTTCAGTATCAAGTCAATTGCCTCCATTAGATAAATCAGGCCGTGATAGTTGTTTTGCACTTTGCCTCGAAGTTCAGAGCAAAGAGCAGTAAGAAGAAACAGTGCTACCATGTCAAAATATTTCACCTGTTTTAAAGAAAGTTGTATTAGTGAGTGAGAAAATAAAAATTCAAGTAAAAAGCTAATTCAACTTACTTCTTGTGGCAGTTTTGGATCGGGGTGAATTCGAAGGCGAAGCATAATGCCCTCGACGCAGGAGTTGTTGCTGCAAATGCGTCGAACCTTTGCCGACAAACTCAGCAGATTGGTCAAGCACTTCTGAGCCTCGACGACAATCTTCACGTCAAAGGACTGACTGTTCTCGGTCATGAAGGCCTCCTCCTCGCCGACGAGCATGGCCAAGTGCAGCAGTGTCTCGATGCGGTCAGAGTTGAACTGCGTCTCGGCGATGGCCGGCTCACGGGTGAAGACTCGCATCACCTGCAGCGCTAGTGGACAGAGGTTGGCCATGTCCGGGTCGCGAACCAGGCGAAAGAGCTCTTCCATGATGGCCTGCTTCCCCGTGAACTCGCCCTTCACCAGGGTCACCGTGCTGAAGTTGGTGTAGAAGGAAGCAAGCTCTTTCGCCACTTGCTCTTGCGATCCCACCCTCAGAATTTGCAGAAGATTGTCCATTTTCACTGATCTGGTGAGTAGTGCAAGGGAAATACCATTTAGTAACTTTGATTCTGATTAGCTAAATAACTAGTTAATTTTTTATTGATCTTTTCTGGTATAAAAACTTATTTTCAATTAATTCAGTTAGAAGGGCTCTGTGTTGTTATACAAAGCTAGACCAAATTACTTACAATTGAATAGGTGCTAAAATTGCTGCTAGAAAAAAAACTGAAAAAAGATGCTGTAGAAAATGCCGGGCGATATTGGAGAAGAACGAAGGGAGTGAAGCGGAGATCACAAGGAAACTGAAGGAAAGTGTTGATTGAGATGCCGGAGGTTGCTGATAAGCTGTTGACAAGGTGATGGAGGAAGACGACCACTGAAGGGGAGATTGATAGCCAGAGTAAGCCAAGGGAAGAGGCTTAGTCCTTTCCCGGTCAGCTCAGATGTCAGACTGAAGTCTCATTTAGAAGCCACCCATCATTAATAGTGGATGCTGGGCAAAGATAAACAGATATACCGAACCGTCGTCGTCGCTGCAGCCGCCGCCGCTGCGGTCTCTTTCTCACTTTCACTCGGTGCTCATTGCCCGTCCGTCCAGCGCATGTATTGCCGCTGCCTTTGCTGCTGCTGGTGCTGATCTTTCCGCCACTCTTTCTCTCTCTTCAATCAGTGATGGCCGACATTGGAGAGCAATCAATGTGATTACTGGCGAAATAGGGATTCGGCTGGTGGTGGTGAGCACAGCCAGCGGTCCAGTTCGGCTGCTTCTGCCGCCGCTGCTGCTGCTGGTGCTAGTGCTGGTCGTGTTGGTATATAGCACCGAGGATGAGTACTGCCGATTCACGGTGTGTGCGTGCCGTTAAGTGAGCTGGTTCCAACAACGGCAGTGCGGCGGACACCGGCAGCACACACGTCACTGATGCTGGTGCTAGCACTGGTGCGAATGGTGCGGTCGGTGCTGGGCGAGTGTGCCTATTACCCGAGCGTCTGCTCTCCCCAAGAAAAAATGCACCGTCAGAGGATGAGTGCTTGTACAAAATGCTGATGATGATCTCCAAGGTGGCGGCAGTTTCTGGAACGAGCCCCTAGTAACAAGAGGAAGAGATAACAAGAGGTGAGGCTTGTTTTGAACAAAACAAGTCCACAGCAGAATCAGCAAATGTGGGTTTGTTTGGCTGGTGCAAAGTGCACATTTCAGACACTGGGAAAGAAAAGAAAACAAGAGTGCCATCTGCCGCTTCACTGGCACTATCCAGTTCCACAGGAGGATTTTGACAAACAACTGACGGCGCCAAATGATGCGTCTGCATCTATCTATTCAATTTTAAATTGAATTGTGGCAAATTGACGTCAATTGAACATTATGTATGTTTGTGTGCCTTCACGGGCACGATCTTGGTGGCCATCACAATGCAAGTGCTATCCGGAAGATCAGCATCTCTTGCACTTTTTAATAGATCAACACTTGTGCTTGACAATGTGTTTGGACTTGGACACGTACTCAAAAAGCCTGTTGTTTACATGCTCATTATGCGTAAACAACACTAAAAACTGTGTCAGTCAACAAATATGGAAATGTCAATTAGGAAACAAGACGAGAACAAACTCGACTGTTCAACTTTTAGATTTAATTTGCTAAAAGTCACTTTATAGCAATTCATTCAATTGATCAAATTGTAGATTTTGACAACCTCAAATGAAGGAGTTCTAGAGAAGTTACTTCATTAAATTGATTCCCAGCATAGCAATAATCTAATTATTCTAAATGATTTCCACATTTGCAATTTGTCACTGCTCTAAAATAAACGTGCTCTAGTTTTCCGCGTAAGCGCAAAACCCAATTTTTTCATGTTTTCAAACTAATGAGCGTGGGAGTTGATGCTGCTTAAAAATAAAACAAAAAAGAAAATTCCTGAAACGAATCATGACTTTGAGAACAAGGTCAATGTCGACTAAACCAAAAATTTGTTTTTGTGGCAAAAAAGAAAAAGAGAGATGAGCACCAGAACAAATGTCAGAGAAGCACCTCAAAACGAATGGTTTTCAATGTGGGTAGAAAAAAACAAGCACAAGAAAATCCGCATTTTACCTTTCCCGTGCTCTACCCGGAACAAACAGTATCCAGTGATGGCGCCTACGACCTCGCTTCTCCGTCATTGGCAACCTTCAATTCCAGACTCACTGATGAGCACATACAATGAGCATCCTTTTATTGAGGAGAAAAACAGATTTTTTTGTTTGACATTATTATTACGTCGTATCTTTATTAAATGTCAATTTAATTAAATTTCTTTTTTACTTTACAACTGAAACGTCTGTGAACAGACAGAAACTGCAACTCGTTGGTTTTAGGTAGTTGAAAGTCAAGTGAAAGCAGTGTTATATTTAGTTGTGATTATTAAATTAATCAAAATTTAATGGGAAATGATGAGGATGTGGTGACGCTTACAGGAGAATCTTCAAAAGCCACTCGACGCTGAATGCAAAGACGAAGAAAAAGAAAAAGAAAGAACAACAACAAAACATGCAACAACAAAAAGTACAAGTAGACATTTATCAATTGGCGGCAATTGATCTTCCATTGAGTAGCACCGAAAGAAGCAGTCCGGCTGCCCAAAGTGGCACTGAAGTGGTCAAGCAGTGGGGGCAAACACTCCCGCCACCACCGGTCAGTGTCAGTCGTTCCACATGACTGGCTGTGGCGTAACTCTCCCGAATCTGAGTGTTGTTGACCGGTTGCCAAAAGTCAGGTAGGGAGTTTCGCTCTCGTCTAGTGGGCGCTAGGTACACGTTAATGATGGTGATCTTGTTCTCCGATACTGTGAACTGCTTCTGCAGTGTTCGGTAGCCAGATGCTTTCACCATGAGCACGTAGTCGCCGGGCAGAAGGACACGCCAGAACTGACCTCTCCGGTCGGTCTGAAAGGGCACTTCGCGACCTTTATCAAAAAAGTAAAATATAATATTCAATTTCAATATTGAAATTAAGCTTAAATACCTAGGATGGTCAGATTAGCCTTCACGATGGGCAAATCGTTATTGTGATCCCGAACAATGCCCTTGACCCCTTTGTGCGCCTCCGTCAGATAAGTCAGCAGGGCAACTTTGTTGTCATTCCAGTAGTTGAGCAGCGTACTGGCGGGCGGAAATTTGCAGCAGGACAGCTCCAGCGTCANTTAAGCTTAAATACCTAGGATGGTCAGATTAGCCTTCACGATGGGCAAATCGTTATTGTGATCCCGAACAATGCCCTTGACCCCTTTGTGCGCCTCCGTCAGATAAGTCAGCAGGGCAACTTTGTTGTCATTCCAGTAGTTGAGCAGCGTACTGGCGGGCGGAAATTTGCAGCAGGACAGCTCCAGCGTCAGCTCGTAGTGACCTGCAAAGACGTACGCGTAGTCTTGCATGGACCCAGACACCGGATACCAGGCGTTGCCATTGGTGATGCCATTCTCAAAGGACTCCTCCTCGCACTGCGTTGACTTGGAGCGCATTTTGGTGTGCTTTTTGGCGTACACCAGCGAGAGGTGGTAGAAGACGTCGTGGTCAGGCGTCACTGCGATGTGGTCGTCGCTGTGGTTGCGCGAGTTGTCAAAGGGGTAGTTGACCACGACTGCACCGCCGTGCAGATTGGCCGACAGCGCAAACTGCGTGTCCTCCATCCACCGGCGAAGAGCGGTCGTTTCCGGCTGTTCACGGTGAGCATTGGGCACTAGGCGATCGGGAAAGTTGCGATTTAGATCGTAACCTTT